CGTTGTTTGTAATTCCAAACTTTGATTTTATAATCGTCGCCGCCAGAAACAAACAATGGCTGCTGATTGTGAAAACATATGCCTCGAACGGGTCCGTCATGTTCATCGAATTTATCGAGCAAGGCACACATACGGTAATCCCATAGTTGGATAACGCCATTATGTAAACTGTAATTTATTTATGAATGCAAAAGATATAATGCGATATTTTTACTGATTTCATTTTTTGCATTTATGTAAGAAATATAGTAATTATTTTATATAATTAAATATAGGAGATAAAATCTATTACATTCATATTTCTTAATTTATTTTTATAATTTGATATTTAAATCTGACGATATATAATCATTTATTTTTTAAATGTTTACTTCATTCTTATAACAATCTTTTATATATGTAAATGTGTTTTATTTATGTACAAATATATGATATCAATTACGAAACTGCTTATTGGTTTACACGCTATGCATACTATCCTTTTCAATTGTCGTAAACCATATGAGGAACGTTTATAAGTGCTCTCGATTGCGAAAACCGACGGTTCGCACGATTTTTTTGGGCGTACAATTACAAAATGAAGCATAAATATAGAGGTCATTCGGAAACTGGATTTCGGGCCTACATACAGGGTGTCCCAATAACATAACGAAAACACAATACAAATGTAAAAATCAAGATTATCATTTGTCTACAGATTATATATATTATACAAATACCATTATTTCTAAACTGATTTAATTCTTCCTTGTAATTCAATTATACAAGTCAATAATTATAAAACATTCTTGATGAAATTTAATGTGGATCTTTGTAGTTCACATTTAGTCGCCTTATGTATCTCGTATACATATATGTATTATCTTAAAAGACAGATAGATTCGTTAATTTAATATTTAAATTTGTGAATACCAAAAAATACACAATCATTTTTTATTTCTCCCATCATCTACCAATAATCTTTTTAATATACCCATAAATATTGAACACCTACTGTAATAAGTCATTCGCTCATAAATACACATCTAATAAAAAGATCAGAAATGACTAATTTGTCACATTAATCTGCTTTTCTGAATAATTCCTTATATCCTGGTTACATCCATTACTTCAAAACATAATTAATTTAAATAATAAACTATATTATTTTTATAAATATTATAAATATAACAAACATAATTTTACCATTATTAATTATAAAATATTTTAGTATTATTATATATATATATTATTATTATTAAAAAGTAGATATATTATGTAAATATATTCATATATAATTTTGTAGCAACTTGATAAATCTTTTTAAGACTTTGTTTGCGTCAATATTCATGAGAATAATTTACTCTTTTAAACTAAACGATATATTCTTACAAAATGTATAATGCGTAATTAATTCATCAAGATATGCGATAAAATGATCTGAAATTCGATCTGCATGCACTACATTTTAACGAATCCAACGATAATTGAGAGACAGAATCCATATATCCCCTCAGGACATTTTTACAGAATCAGGTCATCAGAGACAGAGGTGTACACATGAGAGTGGTGGGGATGTTAAATGCATGTTGGAACCGTGTATATAGAGATCACATTATTACATATCTTGGTAGTTCACTTTTTAATTTCATTAGGGTCACATCTTTATGTAAAAAAAAAATCTTTGACAATGGTGTTTTTCCAGTTTTTTACCACTGCTGTTGTAAGTACACATTTGCATTTAAATGAAAAATTTATATACAATATTCCAAAATATCTGATATTTATTTTAATGCCTTTTCGGTATGTCATATTCGGATCTTTTCCAATGCTTTTTCTATTGCTTATAATTTTTTTTAATAAGATACATGCATTTGCTTGATACTGTTATATTCCTTAATTAATGTCCGGAGTTTCGATAGAAAAAAATTTACAATACACTTTTATTAAAATTATAAGCAATCGAATTGGATGAATATGCCATACCCCAGTGTGCTGTTCCAGTAAAGTGACGTTTAAGAGATTTAATAATTTTATTTTAAATTCTTTTTTTAATAAATTTAAAATTTTATATGCATATATTATAAATCACAATTATATAAATTTTGTATCGGCAATTAATAATTAATAATATTAGAGATGCACAGGATATCCGAAAAGTATTCAGTATCCGGTATTATCCGGTACTTTTTTACTATTCGACCGGATAGTCAAATATCATTAGTACTCGGGAATATATCCGGTTGAAATTTTATATCATTAAATTGTTGATTTTTTATTATATAAGTCAGGTTTGTTCAATTTGAGCCTCTCGGAGTTAAAACGTAAAGCCGAAAATTCAATGTAAGTAAGATTTCGGGGAATGTAAAGTGCTGATAAGCTTTACTCAGATGCATATCGACACTTTACAGTTCTCGAAATCTTATTCACATTGAATTTTTTTTGTGTCGATGGCTTTGCGTTTTGGCTCCGGAGCTCAAATTGGACAGGTCTGATATAAGTATTCTACAAATAAGTATGCATACTCATAATGCTATATCTTATATATTGTTACAAAATTTTTTTCTCTACAGGTTTTTTTTCTTTAGAAAACATTGTTCCGGAATCGGGTCGAATATCCGGAAAATATCGAATGTCCGACTTGAAAAATTGCCTTCCCGGATATCCGATATTACATTCTTTTCGGATATCCGATATCCAGTAATTTTACGATCCGGTGCATCCCTAAATAATATAATCCGTAATTTTATATCAAAAGAAACAATTCTTTTATTCACTTTTTCAGCTCTTGTTAAGTTTAACGTCAGTGAAAACATATTCTGTTCCATACCAGAACATTCAGCTAGCGTTTTCTATCACGCCAAAATTGATGTATACATCTGAATCTAATCCTACTTTCAGTGGATATTCCTATATAACTCAAGATTTGAATGGCGGTGAAAGTAATGTTGTTTTTACAACTGGTGCTGATTCTATGAACAGATTAAAGAATGAAATAAACTCAATGAAAATATCAGAAGGATATTCACAAAAAGATAAAGATCAAGAGAATATAATATCTTCAAAACAATCTGAATCTGTGAAAGCTGAAGAAAGTAAAAACAAACAAGATTTTGACTCCAATATTGAAGTTCTCAACGAAGAAAAGAAATTTTCAAAAAATCTTGAAGCAAGTAATCTTATTGAATATCAACCGAATCTTCAACAAGTTTCCCTTATAGATGTATCTTATCCTGCATTTAGAGAAAATTTATTAAACTTACATCTTCCAGAGTTTTCAAGATATCAAATATCAAACGTGATACAGAACCAGTACTATCCTTACAATCTCTATGCTCGCTTACAATTGCCTTTAAATAATTTTGATTTTTATAATCCTGCTGTGCCACTACTTTATCAAACAACAGCAGTCATTTCTGATAGTAATTCTAAATCAACATCGACAGCTAGTGAAAATACAAAATCATCTGTGGAATCATATATTGCTAAAAGCTTACAAACAAATACTACCAGCTCTGAATCTAACTTGGTAAAATCTCATGTAAAAGAATCAAGATTCAATCTAGAATCAACAACGAATGCAACCAAACAAACACCATCAAATCGGTCTGAAACTTCCATGAGGATGAAACTTGAATCTACATCTGAGATAATTAGAGAAGAAATTACAACTAGTGAGTCTACAGTAACATCTCAGAAATCTGTTGAAGAGATTACAGTTAAAAAAGCAAATAGTACTGAATTTGCAAGTACGGAAACAAGTCTTCTGACAGAGAAATCAAGTGCTGCAATATAAAAGATGTATGAAGCATTTTCCAACTAAAATATAAATCCGTATACTCTATTTTTGTGTATTACATTTATAATAATAGGATTTCTAATAAAATGTTACAAAACCTCTTGCATTTATGTAAAAATGAATCTTTTAATATTTACCATATAAATTACAGGTAAATCTTCATCTTAGCAGATAGAAGATAAAAATAATTTACGAATTTACAAATTAATTCCCATCACACAATTTTTTTAATGCCTGTGTTTAAATTATTGAAAGCACTGTACATTAAGTAAGAGGTTAGGTCTATCAATATGCAACCTAAATTCATGCTAATATTTATCAAATAATTTTCTAACACAGTAAACAATTCAGATAAAACATTTTGCTTTTACAAACAGATAAATATTTAATTAGTAAAATGTCACCAAATGGTCAAGAAATTAATTTAAAGAAAACCTGTCCCTTTACCTTGCAAGCACCCATGGGCGTTTCGGATGAAAGGACAAGCCCTTCACTCGAGCAGACTTCGTCTCGAACTTCGTCAACATCTTACTTTAATTGTTTGAAATAAGACGTAATTAATTAAACATCACCCTCTTGAAATTCTTTAAACTTTTGACACGACAGGAGACACGTCACTATATAACCATGAACTATAATGTCATCTATATAAAACATAGATGCGATTCGACTTTATTTTTTTGTAATTTTTATTCTAGTTACATTTTAGTTACAAAATCAAATTCCCTAGAAATGCGGATGCATTTTCGAAACATTTGATTGGTTGTCCAAGTGCTCGTCGCCATATTTGTATCCCTAGCCAAGGAATTGGAAACACATCGACGAGTTGCACGCGGTGCGCTCTGATTGGGTGCATTCAGTACTACAACCGCTCATTGAGCGCTTAGTGAGCGCTTGCATCTTATTGGCATATTCCGTTAGAACTAAAAATATAGACCAAACAGATACAAGAGCTCTCAGTGAGCGGTCGTGGTACTGAATGCACCCATTGG